TGGCAATATCTGGGATCCATCAGCCAAAACTGTGTAAACATACATCACAGACATACAACACAACTAATTAAACGTTCAATGACAAACAAAAATAAAGCAAAAAAAGATGCGAACAAATTTGTTTTTTTGTAGTTGACAATTATATTAATAATACAATCAGTATAGTACAGCAAAATGAATGCACATCTATACCGAATAACCTGAAGCTTCATACGACCATATAGCATTATAGTTCAAAGACAAATGAAGGTAAATCTGTAAAGGAGAATAAATTCTACAGTCAGCATCTAGAATCTATAAGTAAACATGTATAACTCAAGACCAACCTGTATTATTTGTAAACGAGACACTGATTAAATCTGAACACTTTCGAGGGAATTTTTGGAGAAAAAAGAACGAGACTTTCATTCACATATCCTGGCGCATTATTTGTTTACTCAGACTCTGATGACGTTGAGGAATTCTGAGTAGCAGCTGCAATATCCTGAATATAGTATGAGTTGAGAAATGTATAATCCATACGCTGATTAAGTTGATAAATTGCTTCAAAAGTGAGGAAATTCAAAATTTCTAATTGAATCAATTTCGTGCTCAGGCATTGAAGTCAAATTTGGTGTATAGAAAATTATGTCCAAATTCAGACTGAGGAAACTGTAAATATGGTGTCTCTTGTTTGCAAAATTAAAAATTATTCTAAATAATTAGGATGTTCTTGTCCCAGGCAGAAAACCCTGGCCGTGTTAGGCGCAACTTTTTGGAAGTTTTGGTGCTCGGTGCTCTTCAGCTTTGTACTTGTTTTGGCTTTCAAATTTTTTTCAACTGAGCGTCCCTGGTTGGTCTTGTGTGGACTAGACACACGTCTGGCGTATTGAATTTTAAGCCTAGTACCTTTTGTTAGCTATTATTCGTGTGTTTCTTTGTCCTATATGTTCTCCAATTTATTTGTATTGTGGTCCTGTCATGTGATGTTGTCGTTTTGGTGTTGTGTTTGACGTTGCCATAAAAACGGGAGGTTTGGCATGCCACAAAACCAGGTTCAACCCACCATTTTTTTCTTAAAATGTCCTGTACCAAGTCAGGAAAATGGCCATTGCTATATGATAGTTCGTTTCTGTGTGTGTTACATTTTAATATTGTGTTTTTGTTGTGTCGTTGTTCTCCTCTTATATTTGATGCGTTTCCCTCAGTTTTAGTTTGTAACCTGGATTTGTTTTTATCTCTATCGATTTATGAGTTTCGAACAGCGGTTTACTACTGTTGCCTTTATTTGGGACTATCACTAGGAGCCACACCAGAAAAGTTTGTATTTTTTTATGGAAAAAAAATTATTTCCAAAAAATAAAATTGAGAATGGAAATGGGGAATGTGTCAAAGAGACAACAACCCGACCAAAGAGCAGAAAACTGCCGAAGGCCACCAATGGGTCTTCAACACAGCAAGAAAAACCTGGAGGCGTGCTTCAGCTGGCCCCTAAACAAAAATGTGTACTACTTCAGTGATAATGGACGTCATACTAAACTACGAAATATATAAATGAACTAAAATTAAAAATCATACAAGACTAACAAAGGCCAGAGGCTCCTGACTTGGGACAGGCGCAAAAATGCGGTGTGGTTAAACATGTTTAGTGATATCTCAACCGTCCCCCTATACCTCTAGCCAATGTAGAAAAAAAACAAACATACAGCATTACGCACAGTAAAACTCAGTTTAAAAGAAGTCCGAGTCCGATGTCAGAATAGATAACAAAAGAAACTAAGCAAAATGACAATGATAATTAAATTAACAAAGGACTACTAGCAGTTACTGACATGCCAGCTCCAGACCTCAATTAAACTGATTGAAAGATTATGTCTTCATCATATGAATTTCAAGCACAATCCCTCCCGTTAGGGGTTTAGTATCATACCATCATAGAATATATGAAAAGAACATAACCCGTATCATGCTAACAACTGGTTGCAAAGATGCAAAAACCCTATAAGTGAATAAATATTAAAGCCAAAATATGCCATCTTTCATGACCTGACAACAGTATCGAAACTATATCATGTATATCCTTTCTTAATAAGTTTGTTTAAAGGTTTGGTTAGCTTTTGAGGTGAATGCCGACATTTTTGTGCTTTGTAAAGTATATTACCATAAAAGATTTGATGTGAAATACTTGAACGTATAAGATGTCTGCATGTTGATTTATATTTACGAATGATGTCCTTGTACTGATGATAAAATTTAGTAAATATCTTGACTAGTTTGTGATATCGAAAACCCTGGTGTATTAATTTTTCAGTAAAACTGAGATTTCTTTTTTTTCTTTTTTTTTTTTAACATTAACAAATTCTTTATTGCACTAGTATCTAGTTGTTAAAAACTGCCCTATATAGTACAACTATTATATATAGGTTTATCCCTGTGTGTTAATCGTCAAATGAACCAGGGGATTGATTTGATGAAATTGTATAGAAAATTCTTTCGTAAAAATCAAATACGTTGTTACATACACGAGCGAATCGAACAAGTTGAGATATATAAACACCATTCTCTTTTATTATAACTTTTGGTATTAAGCTTCCCGTTAATGATATATATATCAAGATCCAGGAAAGGGCAGCGTTCACTGTTAGTATTAGCTTTATTTAAAGTTAGTTCAACAGGATCAATCTCTTTAGTGCGCATACTGAAGTCGTCATTATTTAGAGCCAATATATCATCCAAATATCTAAAAGTATTATTAAATTTTTGTATCAGATCTTGTTTCGACGGGTCTTTGCTGATTTTAGTCATAAATTGTAACTCATAAAAATACAGAAACAGGTCCGCAATAAGTGGTTCACAGTTAGTCCCCATTGGAATTCCGATAACTTGTCGATATACGGAATCTCCAAAGCAAACAAAAATGTTATTTAATAAAAATTAAAGGGCAGTTATAGTATCAATGCAGGTCCAATTGACATAGTTCTTTTGTTTGTTATTACTAAAAAATGACCTAAAAGAGTTTGAACATATATATATTCGCATTCTGACTTTTTATATTCCCATTTCATTAGGTGTGTGAATTTGTTCTTAATAAGAATATGAGGCAAAGTGGTATATAGGGTAGAAAAATCAAACTTTGAACAGATTCAAAATCATTAAGCATTATTTCTCTGTATGTAGTTATACGCTTCAACCAATTACAAGTATATCAATTGGTCAAAGAAATGTGGTTTTCTGATCATTAAACCTGGTCACGTCTTGTCTTTCACAATCATAATAATGCGTTGCCTGATTTTTACGATCAATTGTGATTGAAAATCAAGAAAATTATACTTTTTTCAAAACCTATATGTGAACTCTTTCAAGTAATGTCATACTTTATTTTTACTTGACTATCTAATTCACTAAAGATTACGGTTCAAACATATCATGATATATTGGAATGTGACCGTTATAGATACGAAACGGGATTGTTTTTTAATGATTCTCATAGGCTCGTTGCCCTATATGATTTCTTAGAAAAAGTGCCGATTTTTTTTTCTTCAACGTAGTGATAATATTTTCAAGGAAGTTGAAACATTTTGACAAACATGGTTTTTTTTCTGATTTGTTTCTACTTTTGAAAATACAGCAGATTTCTCATAGATTTTGAAGTAAAACTTGATTGCATACACGATCCGATCGCAATGCTTGACCTCCGTTAGTTATTTTTTCACAATCTTTCTTCTTGATACCCGTGATAAACATAGTCTGTTAAATCACCTTTATATTAATCAGGTAAAAGATCATAAAATATTATATTTGTTTAAATTTCAGGAGTTCGAGTTTTCTAATGAAATATTTCCATGTGATCATTAGACGCAACAGGCCTTGAATCAGTTTGAAGTCTTTGATCTTATAATGTCGACAGAATTTAAAACCTGGAGTCATTCAGTAATGAACTTGCGATAACTAATTATTAACAAAATACAGATGCTTATGCAAATAATGAACAGCAATCAGACTATTTTTTTCCAAAATAAATGAAGTCGAAACCACTTTACGATTAACTTTTATAGCTCGACGTGATGCACCCTCTTTACATTTGCGTATCAGATGTTTCTCAGACTTTGTAAAACGTCACCAGTGTCTGAGCAGAAAGTTGATGAACCAGGAGTATGTTAAAGAACGTCCCGTCCTTTTTCTAAAAAAGTTCATCGGAAGGTACCAAGACCTTGTTGGTAAATATTCCGTATCAACTTCTCAAATAATACACGATGGTCTTGACGTATAGATTCTGGGTACTGACGTTGGTTATCATCTTAATAACGTGTTATTGTATTCTTTTAATTGTCTTTATGAATATTACTTTTACTGTTTAGTTTTTGGTGATATCCATTTGACGTGGCTCTGTACTTATACATCCCGTCATTGTGGTATTGTTCTATGGTAAAATTTTTGTATTCTTGTCTTTCATTTTTGCTAATGTGCTTTGTCTATATGCCTTTTTGTGTTTCTTTGTTACATATGATGTGGCTCTGTACTTATACATCCCGTCATTGTGTTATTGTGCTATGGTAATTTTTTGTATTATTGTCTTTCATTTTTGCTAAATTAAATGTGCTTTGTCTATATGCCTTTTTGTGCTTCTTTGTTACATATTTGTTTGTTTTTATAGTGATTAAGATTATAACACAATGTTGACTGCTGTACCCTTATTTTTGACATTTTTACCTATTATGTCTGTCTGTTTTGTTCACACATCGTTGTCACAATAATGGAATTTTATGCGACTGTCATACAAGTGAGAGGTTTAGCTAGCTATAAAACCAGGTTTAATCCACCATTTCCTACATAAGAAATGCCTGTACCAAGTCAGGAATATGACAGTTGTCATCCATTCGTTTGATGTGATTGAGCTTTTGATTCTGCCATATGATTAGGGACTTTCCGTTTTGAATTTTCCTCGGAGTTCAGTATTTTTGTGATTTTACTTCTTTCTAATATTAAAACAATAATGGTAAGATTCTTTTCTAACTAGATCATGAAGTTTAAATCAAATTTATTAATAAAACATTTTCACACTCGCTCATTTTTGTCTTCTTGGTAAATACAATTTATCGTAGATTGTATATGTGAAACTCAAAAAACAAGCACAAGAATATACGGTAATGCATGACAATGTCAATAATACAGATCTATAATGTAAAAAAATGAAATCTTACTTCAAACCGGGTAAATGCTCAACAAATAGGAATGTGCTATTTCAGTATTAGTAAGAATAAACAAAAATCTGATGGTTTCATACATTTCTTATAAACATCATTTCTCCTCACCCCCTCATTTCTTATATTTTGTTACGGCTGGGCTGAAACGTTAAACTGAGGATGTGATCAGTTTGGAGTAATGTTCTCTCATGAATGAATATACACATAAAGAATGGAAGAAAGAAATACAGAACACAATGAAATGAAAGAATGAATAGTACACCAATTACGACGGATATGTTCCAATTGTCGTTACAACAATCCCATATTCTTTTCCTCGATTAAGTGTTACCTACCGAATAAGACTTACTAAGGAGTTTGTACTTACATGAGGAACATGACAGGTGCCACATGCGGCGCAGGATCTACAAACCCTGCCAGACCACCTAGGAACCCGCGGTTTTGGTAGAGTTCGTATTACTTAGTCTTTAGTTACTTTGTTTGTTTTGTATACTGTTGACAGTTGGGTTTTTTTTGCCATGGCACTGTCCATGGGTTTTCGACTTATGAGTTTGATGATTCCTTCCGTATTTTTCGACTTCGGTATTTTTTTTTTTTCTTAATTTGTCATTCATCTTTGTATTTATTTTGTTAATGCAGGTTGATATATTATTGAGTTAAACGATTACCAAATTACGAAGATGCTTTTAATGGTCCCTCAGATTCCGTTATTTTTTCTTTAATCTCTTTATTTCACGTTCACAAAAATGTTGTTTACCAAGTTTTTGCTTTTTAATAGTTTAAAGTTTTGTTATCTAAATGGATTAAAATACTGGCCTCATCACCCAATTTTCCTTTCCAATGTAATTTTACAAAAACTGGAAATCTCTAAATTAAATGGTAGTCGTCGTATACTTCCGGTTGAAATTTATGACTTTTTTTTTCTTTTTTTCACATATTATTTTTTAGTCGGAACAGTTCAAAGCCTCCTGTAATTTATTTTATCATAAGGTAAGGTAAGGTTTTGATGTTAGAACATAACAGTTTAAGATGCTCCAGGAATTCCAAATGTACGCTTTTGGCGTGTTTGATAGGAACTGGAACATTAAAAAAAAGCTCTTCAGTCGGGTTGTTGTCTCTTAGACACATTCCCCTTTTCCATTCTCAATTTTATTGAAGACCGCATTTGAATTTGCTATTGTTTTTCATCGTATGTCTAATGCCAATACAGTTATATGTTCTCTTAATGTTAAAAACAACATATATGTGAGTTTCAGGCGAAAGGATTTTGCCAGTAGGTGAACCTTTTGAAAACTCGACTAGCGGTCTGATACAGCCAATATTTTACAAAATATCACTTAGTGTTATTATACAGAAAAAAGTAGGAAAGATATAATAGGTATACAGATAGCTTATGGAGGCATTTGTAGTAAACATGATAGAGACAATTGATAAACACAAACAGAACATTGTTCTGTCATATTTAAAAGATATAGCATTGTAAGCGAATAAAAAGTATATTTTACAGAATATTTCAAAAGTTATCTTCAAATGCAAATATCTAATGACTAAATAATGATAACAAAGTTCCAAAATCTTTAAATGAAGTATTCTTCCTCGTGATGAAGGTCCGAATCCTAAAAATTAAAAGAAAAAAATAATTTATTAGATGCAGTACATTATGTAAGAATACCACCACATAATTTGAAAAAATGAAAAATAAAACCTTGACTTAACATCTAAAACATGTTATAGCAATTTGATTGTTTTTTCTTAAAGTTGAACCTTTAGTTGATAGGTTAACAAAAGTTAACTCGGAGTGTATACCTGTTCTGAATATATCTTTCTGGTTGAGTTAGTTTAATGCAGAATTCAATAATGAACAGATAGCATTGATAAAATGTATCTTCAATTAAATTATTGTGGTCTGGGGCATCACTGAAGAGACATTAATTGTCGAAATGCGCATCTGGGGCAGAAAAATGGTACCGTTTATGTTATTCAATTAAAACCAACGTGGGGCGTAAAGAGTAGATCATGTAGACAAAGGTTGAATACCTTAAAACCAAAATATCAAGAAGAAAACAAATAAATTTTGAATTTCTTAGTTCAAGTATATACGTGTCTTAAATAAATGTTATAATACCCCGTCGAGAAATAATTAACCACTAAAACTAGGGTGCCAACACCATCAGGGTATGTTGTAATTAGCAGTAATTGACTATTCTTGTAGGTCCATTTTGGTCATTTTGCTCCTAACGCTACTAATACACTCCTGGCGTTCAACTGTTAGGATTTTAGCGTTTATGATAACATGGACAAAGATAAGTTAGAACAGTGCTTTAAACGCAAACATTTTATCAAGTGTTTTTTTCTTCTATTTTAAAGTATTAAACCATAAATAAAAAGTTACAAACGTGCTTTCATATTCTTTTATATTTTTTATATACTTTTTAATTCAATATTTTAAGTTTCTTAAAATGTAAATTTTTATTTCATTCATTTTCTATTTCATAACCATGTTTAACATGTTTAATGACCATAGTGATTGATAATACTAAGCTTATTCGGTATTTGACGATTTATTTTTCAAAATTTCTATTTCGAGCATACTCGATTATAATGAATTAAAAAAAAACAAAATTTAAGAAAATCATTTGTACCTTTAGATAAAAGTTTCTCATTAATCAAAACAATGTCAATTACAGAGGGTCCTGTACGCTAAGCTGCAACATCTTCGGTACTGGTTTGATTTAAACATGTTTAAGAATACACTATTTTCGTAAATATTCAGTTCAATTTTGGTCACGGGCTTAACGTGCAAAGTGTTTTAAGGTGTTTTTTTATATATGTATATAAACATCCGTATGTATGTTTTAACAAATTATAAAATTTGGCCTTCTAGCGTTTATATTTCTTTCAAAATATGTAAAATGTGCATATTATGTAAGACTTAAAACGGACCTTTTAAAGAAATTTTTACTATTTGCTAATATTCGTGGACACGTGCTTCTTTAAAACTATTAGAATTTATCAACCTTTCTCAATGACTCGTTGCACTATATTTAAAAAGATCAACAGTTGATCTCTATCAGTGTCATTGGGTAGAGTTGATTTGATAGTGAATACAATGCACAAGTCAACGACGGTTTGTGGGTTAGCATTTACACTGCATACAATTATTATGAAAACATAGCTATGAAATAATAATAATGTTTGTATAAGATTATGTGATTTATTTCTTTTATACAATGTATAATACTATAAAAATATTTGATATAATTGTTCCTTTTTTAATTAGAAAAACAAATAGTAGAAGTAGTCATGGGAAAATTTATCAATGTATATTTTCATATTTTCTTTTCTGTTGTGAACAAGTATAAGAGTTACTTTACTGTTAAATTTTTTACCTGACTTTTTGGTTCAGTTGGTGCTGACGACGTTTCTATAACATGATGCTCTGACGTTTCTACTTCATCAAGATAAAGAAGTTTATATGGCAGAAGAGGATGCATTGAAGGTATTGGTACAGATGGACGAGTGAAGTGCATTTTTTGTTCATTTCTAAAGAAGTGGTTAGTTTCCTTTCTAACGAAATCGTGTAGAGGAAAATCTAAAAGTAATTGTCTTACAAATTCTTCGTCTTGTGTGGTAATTATGTAGAACGGTTTTTGCGGAACGTGTCTGGTTTGACCTTTAACTTTAGATGTTACTTTTTTTCGTCGACACCCTTCTTCCTGAATCGCCTGAGCTTGTTCATATTTTATTTCTGAATTCTTTTCACTAGTTTGGAAATAGTTACTTGCTGTCACTTCATTTTGAACAGGAGTTGTTTTCTTATTTTCAGATTCTAATATGTTTTGATCACTCACGTGGTTGAAGCTATTTGTTGAGAGGGATGCGTTCGTAGACACGTCATCTAAGTTTTGAAATTGGTCAGAAGATGTATTTATTTTGTGCAATGCTCCATGACACAATTCAACTATTTTTTCATTCTTTAGTTTATCAACTGGATGCAAAAAGGTAGCGCTATTATGTTCTGGTGTTCTTTCAATGTTAACAAACAAACTAGATGACACATTGTATTCTGAGTTTGTGTAAGTTGGTACTGCTGCATTGAGTGTGAACCATCTTTCGGGAGTACCGACTAAAACTGTTGAACCATACTGTTTCTCAATTTCCTTCCTTTCGCATTTTAACTTTGTATAACAAAATGAATTATCACCAATCTTTATACATGCATTTGTGTCAAGTTGTTCCTTGTCGGTACTGATCTGAAACTCATGATAAACATTGGAATAAAGCAATGCACTCTTTGAAAAAAATGATCAAGTTTTACTATTTTGTAACAAATCAAATATTTGCAAGTGTCTACAAAAAAATGTAGAAGTGAAATATCTTTCAAGAAATGTACTTTATCTAAATATTGTAGTAATACATTTAGTTATCTGCTATCATTTTTTGAATATCATTTTATATTAAGTTATATGTTTCGTGTTTTAAAATGATACTTCAGTCTTCCTGTATTTAGAAAAATAAAAATCTGTTTTTAATAATCAATCAAAACTATTGGCGTTTTGTTTTAAGTATCGCTCATTCATTCTTTTTATATAACCCCTGATTGTTTAACCTTATTGATGAACATTTTGTTTAATTTTCACTTCATGTCTATTTGGCTGCATTGTTCATATATATAGTTTGCAAATTTAAAACAATCATATAATTGATTGACCTTGTGCACTTTCAGGAAATTAATCAAACTAAATTAACACCATGTTGGTATTTCAACAAAGTTTAGGTAATTAAAATAGTATTCATTTTTCAGTACATTGATAGTTAAGATAGAAAACACTGTTTTCCGATTTAAAATAAATATATAAACAATTTATAATTATACATATACCTCATTTTGATTGGTTATATCTGTAATATTTGAATTAATTTCAGTTGAAACGTCTTCGTTAAGTTTAATTTCTGTAAATTGTTCTGAAACACAAATTTTCAAGAAATGCAATATAGTAATCATTTATTCTTCAAACATTAGTGAAATAATCGTATGCAGAGATATGTTGAAAGCATGCTAATGTTTATTTTAAAAAAATGAGAAAACAAACTACTTTGTTTCCAATAGATTTGTTTAAACTGTATCACCTAGATGTTTCTTAACGACTTTTTTTTCTTTTGAGAACATAATTAATTTGTTAATTTAAATTGAGCTTTGAACAGGCCTTAACTGCAAGTAATGTCCGAACAATACTATTTGTCTTTATTTTGTTATTAATTGGTGTTTGTGTGTACATGTTGTACCGATTTGATAAATCTAGTCCTACCCGACTACTTTTAAAGCTGATTTTATAATGTATTACTAACCTAGTGGAAGAGTCTGGATTTGCTTACCTCTCGCTAAAAACACTATACTTCAGAGGTTATGATCGGTCACTGTCTGCCAAATTTGATTTCCATCACTGCTGTTCATGCAGTTTGATTTCGTTATTAAATTATTTTTTCACATTATCATTCTGGGGCCATTTACAGATCACGATAAGGTATGGGTTTTGATCATTGTTAAACCTGATACGGCGATCTATAACTGTTCAGACGCCCACTTTGTATTTTTATGTACATGATGTACGGTTAAAGAAAATGAATGAACTTTTATTTCTATTTTTCTTCTTAAACATTTAATATGTATTGTTTACCAATAAATATATAGAAATATACATATATTGCTTATGTGTTTAAATTATGACCAAACTTAAACAATCGGAACTGATTTCTTCGTGCAGAAAAACACATGAATATATGATTTTCGTATGTATTTGTTCGACTCGTAATACATTGAGTCAGACGAGTTTGAATAAAAAGAAATTCAAAAAAGGAATTCAACTTAATTTAAAACATAACATGCACATTCATGTGTACACAACATCCTTATCAACAAAACTTCAGTGAGCACAACAAAACTAAAATACGTTACAATTTCACATGGGATCATTTTGTAATATACATTGGAGTTCAATATTTTTGTTAATACTCTGACACACACATTTTTTTTTCGGTCTTTGTAAGAGTTTGCGCGTCTAAGGACAGAGAATCGTTAATATAAACTAAAATACCTCTTTGTCGTTGTTCATCTGAAGATTTGATACAAAAATGTGTAAAATATACTATAAATAATGTGCATCTCTGTACAATAGACGATACCCTTTCAAAAATCGAATAAGATAGAAACATGTGTCATGGTAAACATGAAATAAGAAGCATCTGAAGTCTAATAAGTAAAATAAGAAAACAATAATAATAAAATACAATTTTACTATTTCAACTTCCTTTGAACCATGTTTCGTTAAAAAGTAATTGCTGCATACTAAGTGATTTTATGATTATACAAGCATCCAGTACAAACATGTTCGTGACTATCTAGTACCAGCTGGAACTATCAGAAACTCAGAAAAGACAAAGGGCAAATAATGATGCAATCTAAGATAAATACGCTTATATCATTGTATAATTAAAGCTAACTTTAACTATTTTTGTAGTGCGGATCATTCGAATATACTAACTGAATGTGAAAAACAAAAATGTCACAGTTTTGAATAGGTTGGTTATGAGTAGTCAGGTGAGAGTTGATATTTGATGTAAAACCCTTTTTTGATTTTGTTGTTTGGTTGGGTTTCATTTTTAATTATTCAATTATTATAATTCTTAGATAACATTTTACTCTTTATCATTCGTTAAAATGTACAATGTCTTTTACTTATTCTAAACAACCGTTTGTGTTTGCTTAAACTTCTTAGGCATATAAAAATATTAAAATTTCATTCTCATATCCAGCCTAATTGTTTGACAATTTTAATTGTCACATATTTATTTTAACATTTTACTATTTATTATCAGAAAAAATGGCATTTACTTATTCTTCAAAACTATTTGTGGTATGCTAATATTCTTGAGCAATATATAAATTTTTAAAAATGTCTAATTAAAATTTCTAAATTCAAGTTTTAACCTCATGAAATAAAGCAAACAGCATATTGCATAACCTGGTGCCACAGAGATGATCAGAAAAGAATATTATGTTTATATTACTACCTTTATAGAGATTCTCATCTTATTTATTAAAGACTTACAAGTACCTAATAAAACTTTCATTTTTTTTAGAGAAATTGGGACGTTTTTTAAAACAACTTCATTAAGGATGTTAATTGAAATCAAATGGTTCGAATGTTATTGCGTAGTTGTTTTGTCGTTTTGTTTTTTTTTTACATATTATTTGTCTACTCTTGTCTTGTAATTTAAGGAAAAACACAGATATTTTTGGTTGTCGCTGTGAGCATTTTAAAAGACAATATCCTTCTTACTCAGAAAAAAATACGTAGTGCACTGTTTACTTATAATCTTTGTTTGAGGTTTTACTGGTATTCAAAGATAACTTAAATCTAATTTAGTGTTATTAACACACAGCTCCTTACCAGTCTTCGTTTGAATATCAGGATTCTGCAATAGGACTTCTGAAGAGAAAAGAAAAACAATATCATGTATTCAACAGCATAAATATTTAGGGGAAATCATACCCCTAAAGTGAAACTCGCAAATAGGTATCATACATGTAGATTAAGATAAGAAAACAATATATTAAACAAGAAAGTAAGCATTTATAGAATCTATGTAAAATGAAAAGAACAAAATATGTAAAGAGGCAAAATAGTCAACACCTGAATAAAACAAATTAAACGAAATATAAAGAAGAAAAAGGAAACGAAAAAGGAAAACAAAATTAGAACAACAAAATGAGGAGTTTATAGGTACACTATTTTTGAGGCAACAGTAGTTTACCGATGTCCAATTCTAACAAGTCCATATGAAGAAAAATAAAATTTAAAAAAATTACGGAATATCATGAACTACCAAAGGTGCAAGACCGGGTGTGTCGACACTAGTAGCAGAATTTGCGTTGAAAGCACATCCCTGTTATCTCCGTTTAGCGTGCACATATACGACCATAACATATAAATTCAGATAATGTATGAACAAGCCATATAATAGGGTAGAGTGTATCTTACTGCTGAAAAATGAAAAGATGAAGTCATCCTGTTGGTCAAAGATTCAAATTTGAGTTGCTAATCGGTGTCGATTTGTAGTAAAATATAAAGCTTCGGCCAGATCTTCTTATAAAAATGAGGAGTTTGGGTTTGATTTTCAATGAGACAAATATCCATCAGAGTTCTGTCGGTAGTAGCATTACCTTCAAGTTTACTGGAACACATGAAATACAAAAACGTACACTTGTACAGTAAATGCTTGGTAAAATTTATTTTTCATGGAGCAATGTAAAGAAAAACCCAGTTTGATCCGCAAAAATTCCTTATGTTCGTACTGTCCAGTTTCTTAATACTAAGCGTTGTGGTTCTGTTATCTTTTGTTCTTTTGATGTTACGTTTTTCCAAGTTTAATCATCTGTATTTTTTTATTAGTGATGACAGAAAAATTCTTATTACCTGTTTGTGTTTGAACTTCCTTATTCTGTGATTGGACTACTGAAACAAAAATGTTTGTATAAATGAAACAAAATGTGTTTTAATTACTGATATAACAAGATGAATAAAGGCAACAACAGTATACCGCTGTTCAATAGTCATAAATCGATTAAGCGAAAACATATCCAGTTCACAACCAAAACAGAGGGAAACACATCAATTATGAGAGGGAAACAACGGAACAACAGAGACACTGAACTGCAACAAAAACAAACACCAACATACATAGAAACGGACTATTTGAAAACAACTTCCTGACTTGGTACAGGACATTTTAAGAAAACATGGTAAGTTGAACCTGGTTTTATGGCTAGCCAAATCTCCCGCTTATATGGCTATGTTAGGAATATCGCTAAATTGACCACATTACATGACAGGAATACAGTACAAATAAACGCAAAAACACTCAGGACAAAGAATACATAAATAAATAATATAAGCAAGGATTTGTCCTTGATGATACCTTTCAGTTAAGTAAGTGATGTGATATAAACAAATTGATCATAATCTTTGTGCAATTTTCATAGAAAACAAAATAGTCATTGCTAGGCACGTATTTATCCAACATCTATCTGTGAATCAAAACTGAAGATAATATCTGGTAAGGGTTTTGTCCATTTTTGAAGGCTGTATGGTGACCTATAGTTGTTAGCTTCTACGCCATTTGGTCTTAGGTTGTTTTAATATAAAAATAGAAGATATATCAACTGAATTTTCGAAGTAAACAGAATTAAGATGCGTTTACCTCAATAACACGTAGACAAACGGAGCAATATGTGTTGGCATCCGTTTAAATGTTTTGTTTGGTCTTCAACCATTTGTATACAATATTTATTTACATAATACGCATTATTTATTTCAATTTAGGTATATTAGTTTTAGTTTATTTGTACGTTATAGAGAAAGTCCAAATAACTGTCCATTCCTGGGAAATAATGGAGCAGAGGCCCGGAGTGCCGACGCCCATTATTTCCCAGGAATGGACAGTTATTTGGACTTTCGCTAACTTAAAATACACCTTAAATATTAAGAACGAATTTTAGATCATAAAATTTAAAGAATTTTATTTCATTTTGTAATGGTTTTCTTTTCATTTTCCCCATGGTGTACCCAATAATCCACAGGCAAAATTTAAGATCAAGCTGACCATCAACTCACTTAACAAGTATTTATGAACAGTAGAATAATTACTATAAAAAGATCTTGAATAAAGTTCATCCAGATTTGTGTTTTAAGTCATTGGATACGCACGTCTTTCTTGTGGTGGGATTGAAAGGATATTTATTTGTGTCTTTAAGTGTTATTTCGGGAGAGAGAAAAAACTAATATTTATGCATATTATTATATGTTAATGGATTATGTGTTTTTCGTTTGATAAATCTTGGATGTAGAATCGTCTGAGAAAAATGACATGGTACAACTAGAATAAATTTCCAGGTATGTAACACTCTAGTATATGTTATTAAACTAATAAGGGTGTAGTCGATTTGAAGTCGTATCTGAAACAAAATATGATTCTATATTTCAAACCATTCTATTAGATCAAATTATTATCAGAAAGATTGCCTTTTGTATGTCTTTAAATTAAGTGGAAAACTACTTTTTGATTTCGTTTAAACATTTTAAGATTAACGCTGTCATTTGCACTACGAATATAACTGTTATATTTGCTACTGGTCATATAACAACAGTGAAGGAATTAGATTGTGTTACGCGTTTCTGTTGAATATTGAATAAAAAATCCCGCCCAATAGTTAACACAAGCCTTATTCAAATGTTATCCATACCCTTCAAATTCTGTTCAATAGTACCATATTCAAATTATAACAACGAAAAATCAAATAATATACCGAATACGCCATTTTTAGCATTTTAGTTTCTTGAACTATTTGTTTTATTTAACCACAATACTATTGTAGAAACTATCTGAGTAATATTTCTTTTTTTAAATGTGCATATTAAAATGGAACAAAATCAAAATACAACACTTTAAATTTCAAGCAAATAATATCTTACACGGTAAAATTAAAAGCAAATCTGTAAGTCAAATATATTTTCTCTAATTTTCCTTATTGTATAATGTTACTGTGTTCAATATTACGAAAGAATTCAACTGAGTTAACACATTTGATATTTTGTACATGCACAGAAGAGGACCGGCACTCAATGGAAAATATTCGTTTTTACCCGCTTGGATACTATCCGTGACAGAAATTTAGCCAAGATGTGCATCGGAAAACAAATTGTGAATAATGTTGTGGAATTTTAGTGAAAACGATATCATATATTATACGATGGAATTACGACTCGCAAATAAAAGCTGTTTATCAATAATGAGATATTTGGTGTTCATTGTATTACTACAAGGTCATCCCAATTAAAAAAAATATCTCCATTTAATATCAGCCGTTTAGTAAGTTTTCATCTTCATTCAATATCGCGTTACGTCCTTTCGAACTATTTACATGGGTGAACACTTTTTAAGAAAGTGCCAATGGAAATAGCCAAAGGGCAAAACGTCCGGGTGAATGAAGATGGACAATAGAAAATAACTCTTCATTCCTGAAAAATAATGGAGAGTTTGAACAAAAGATTTACGTCACAGGTGTATTTTAATTATTTTTAAAACTGAATTTATCGAAACATATCGGTTCAAGTGCTCAAACTAGTTAATACAATATCTATTTACCGTTTTGTATCTGCGTATTCAGATTTTCTGTTTGACATTCTGTAAATAAAAAACATTAATTGTCATATAAACTCAAAAGAAGTTATCAAATCGACAAATTCTTGGATAGATAGAAGATCAAAAATAAAATTTAAGAGTAAAATCCAAAGCACCTTAAAACCCCAAAATGGAGAAGAAAAAAAGAATAATCCTTTATGAGGCATAACGCAATATTTATAAATCTTTCACTTTCTTTTATTTGTTTATTTACATGTCAGCTGTTTTAGAGTGTTTAAATTATAATTAAAACCCGAAAACATTGCAAAAATATTCGTTATATTGTATAAAAAAAACAACTGAAAATACACTTATAATTGAATTTTCTATTACATACATTTGATATATTAAAAGAAGGAAATATGGTACGAATGCACAGAAAATTATAAATAGAGACCAAAGGTCAAAGATGTGAACATGCCCAGTGATGCCATTTTGTTGTATTTTAGTGAATGTCAGGAGAGTAGTTGAATGCAATTGAAAACAAATATTCCATTACCGTCTTGACTTTGAACATCAGGATTCTCTGTTTGAACCTCTAAAAAATAATGTACTTATTACAATAAATTATCAGATGGAAACAACCGAAATATGAAAAGCAATGACAATAATAAATGTTCATCTAACGGAAATAAAATGAACTTGTAGTAGTTACAAAATTAAAAAAAAAATATTGTACAATGACAATCACGTTTCATTTCTTCATAATTGACTTAAATGAAAGCACGATTAAATAAAAACATATATGGCGTAATACCTTTATAAGCTCTATAATTAGCTGAACACCAGTATCAATACATGACCTACTACAGGGATAAATAGAATATACAATAACAAAATGTCGGCAACTTCAACCAAAACAGATAGCAGGGTCGTCTTTCCAGCAAACAATTCTTTGAGTACTAATAGTAATTTTAACAACCAAAACTTTCTTTACAGCATATGGTTTTTATCTCTTATACAAATGGCGTTGCTACCCTATATAGGATTCAGGAACTATTATTATGTCATTTCTGGTAATTTAACATTATACTAATCCAGGCTCTGTTTCACATAGACGAATAAACTTACACAATTATCCGAAGAGGTTTGTTTTAGATTAATCTTCACCAGGAACACTCAAATCCAAACATTTGCAAATCGAGGATATATAAATACCTTAAAACGTATAAAGCTGTCTGACAAAAGGGGAAAAAGAAAATGCCAAATTTCTCATAGGTCGCTTTGTCTGGGGGAGTTTGCACCTTAGTCCTTGATCACCTCTTACTTTATCAAAGAAGAATTGCGAAAAAAAATATATAAATAGTGTTAGGACGAAAGCACTGACTACTGATTTGATGATACTTTCGATAACTAACAGTCCAACATTCGTGATAACGACCCAGTGTCAGTTAAAGTGACATAACTTGATTTTGTGCGTTCGAAGAGACTTCCAGACATGACCTTTATCAGTAACGCTCAAACACTCACATTTGAAAGCCTGAATAATTGATGACCTGTATGAACATAAGATTATTAGCCAAACCCGAAACTCCAGGTGAGACCCTTGAGTTCGACCTAAGTTTCATGTTCATTCATTCATTTTTTGCCAAATAATGTTTGTTATTTCGATTATCTTTTTGCCATAGTGTTGTACGTATCTATTGAACAGATGAATGTATAAATATATCGGTAGCATTCTTTCCAATTTCAATAAATACCTACAATCAACACAACAATATTTCGAAACCGATAAATCCATTATGATGTATCGTAAGAAATCGTTTGAGGAAGTTTCTTACTTCAGATATGCAAATGTGTGTGTAGAGGGATAACTAGGTTTAAGATTTAATTGTATCGACACGTGTAGTATAACGAAGGAAATACAGCCTGTAAAGATAAGAAGGCAGATACATATCACGCGTTCAAAGATCAGTTTTTCATTATTATGTTCATTTGTGATCTACAATTTCACCTAACAGCTATTGGATTTGTAATAACATAAGCAACACGACGGGTGCCACATGTGGAGCAGAATCTGCTTACCCTTCCGGAGCACCTGAGATCACCCCCAGTTTTTGGTGGGGTTCGTGTTGCTTAGTCTTTAGTTTTCTATGTTGTGTCATCTGTACTATTATTTGTCTGTTTGTCTTTTTATTTTTTGGCCATGACGTTGTCAGTTTGTTTTCGATCTATGAGTTTGACTGTCCCTCTGGTATCTTTCGTCCCTCTTTTATTGAGAATAAACAATAAAACAAATTGTTCATCTCAAGCATGAACTATATGCTCTTAGATTATAACTCATAAGACCTCCTCTCAATGTTTTGTGTCGAATTTTACGGAATAATATTGTAGACTACGTATTTTTCCATTAAGATTTAATTGGAAATAAAGTATTTATAAAAATGATGAAAATGTGCTTTATTGTTTACAGCAATTTAGGCTATAAAACAAATATGAATGTAAATAATTATGATTTACTTCATTATTTACAATTGCAAAATTTGGAAATCAACATTATGTGTTAACTCTACCTATTGTTACTGGACGGGATTCATTTTTCTTTTTGTTTCCACAAGCACTATGCCTTTTCCATGTTGTCATTGAGTTTTGTCTTTTGAAATTATCGTATTCCATGTCAACTGTAGAATTTTTAAAGTCTACAGACAGTTTAAGGGTATGGTTTTTTGATCCTGAAATGAAAGCATATAATTGTCTTAGAAGTCCATGCTTTTGAAACATTGATATATCATACGTGAAGTTTTGACAGTGTAGGAACGCAGTACAAATCTTTATTTTTAGGGATTTTAATTAATTTTTGGTTACATGTATAAGCTGAAATAATGTGGGTGAACCATGTCGCCATTGAATGGTCGCTTTAAGTCATACCAAATGAGTAACGTAGACTTATTACAAAAACTCAGCAAATATACCAGTACGATTATTCGGTACGTTATACACGCGTGCGGTCTATATAAGACTAATCAGTTGAGCTCGACGTGATTGAAGAATATTCAAAAACAAGTGCTGCAATGCACTGATGCCATATATGTATGGGCTAGTACATCCATAGTATTTTTAAGAATATAATATTTTGATAAAAGTATATTTATTGAAAATGACAAGGTTTATAATGTTCCATGACAACTGAGCTGGTGATGCCCTCACGAATTAGCAACGTCATCTGTTTCAAAAATGTATCAATAGGCTGCCTGTGAAATTGGTCTGCCGGATAAAATGGACATGCATGTAAGATTTTTTCGATTGACATGTTTCAAATAGACCCAAAAAGTAGAAATGACAAGCTAAGATACGCAGATATAACATTGAAGTGGTATTGTGGTCAACTGTTAAATCAAATAATCAAAATTGTCATAAAAACCTAATTTTTTGGTAGGAAATCAAACAAGCTTACACAATTCTTCGTTCACTTAATCATCTAATGTGTTCAAACTGCGCTTCATTTTGTATTTGTATAACGAACAGTCACATACATACATAAAAGCTGAATTTAAGATTTAATATGTCAAATACATTTTTGCTATGTTTGTCAACTTTGTCCAGGACTTATCACTAATGTCAAAATGATTGACCTTTTATTGACAAGTTTTATTCGAAGATAATCAGTTGTTCTTCCGGGCTACTGTTAACAAGAGTTGATTATCTTTATATTATGAAACCAACGCTTAAGTATAGTTCTATAAATCGGTTCATAATTATGATATTGAATTTATTAACACCAGGTGCTCTACTCGAAATGAAGTCCTTCCGAACTCATTATATTATACTGTGTCTTGAAACTGATATGCTACAGTACCAATAAAAAAGAAATATCAAATCAGCATCTACAGACATACATAATCTTTTTTTTTTTTTGCATAACTGTTTTGAGACAATTCAAAGTTTTAAAACAGATTATTTGAAAATAAATGACAATGATATTTGATGTCAACAGAAAAGTGATGACTTTTGGGCTTGTTATACTCTCGATGTTGAAACCGCCACTAGCAATGGCATAATTGATAGCGGTACAACAAATACTAATTGTTTTAGGTACATACATAGAGAGATATCATTGTACAAAATTAAAGACGAAAAAAATGAAAAAGTTAAAGAATATATTCCAAAAAATTTGAATACTAGATGCTTTAATCGAAGCTTGAACTAATTTTAAGAATCAATTTTCGACAACTGAAATACAAGACTGATTGACAGTGATTTTTATGAATTAGTGTTGCTTTATTTTGTTCTGTTTTGTTTATTCTTGGAGTAAAATTTGTCATTCTGGTTTTTTTTCTTATATTCATATTTTTTTCTTTATTAATAATTAAATAAGTATATTGCATTTTTTTAGGTTTTCTTTTAACTTTCATTATCTCTTTGTTTGTTTGTTGGTTTGTTTGTTGTATCGAAAATATGTATAAATCCAAATCATGTAAATTTAAACAAAGTTTGGAGAAATTATAAACTGATATCTGAAAAAGTAATATGCCTACCGTCATTTAATTTTATTTTGAATCGTCCTCTGTCATTGTCGGATTGCTTGAGTTTGAATTTTGCTGGTTTACAATTCTTTCCAAATTGTCTAGTAATAAGCTTCTTCACATGTTTACCACATGTTATGGTTGCTTCATCGTCCATAGTCTTTTCCATGCTACCTACGAAAAAACTAAAAGACTATATATCATCCAACACAAATGTTAATAACTAAATAAGTGTATATAAAAACAAAACATTTGTACATTTTCCTTCTGTTGCGACTGGATTGTGATACACTCTTTTCAAATTGTAATAATAAGATTTTTAATATGCAATATTGAAGAGTATATGAATTGCCGTTTTCTGCATAACAACAAACCAATTCACAGTATACTATTATCTTTGGACATTTTCGCATTGATTGTTGTTTTCGTTCGTGCGTATTTTATATGTGTATCAATTAATCATACATTATTTGGATAGAAACGAACGTTATGCTATTCATTTTTGTTTATTATGGGTTTTGAAAAATAATGTGTTCAATAATTTCTTTTTGTTATGTTTATCGTCGTTCACAAAATGAGAAGAAAGGGAATATCAAAGAAGACATGGTTTTAATTTAAATTTAGATTTAAGAAAACTGGTATTTACAAAAATAGACATGCAAGTCATTCCTTGCGATAACTTGTCAACTGGGTAGACATTATTGACGTAAACTATATCTACCAATCAGATATCTGATCTGATATGAAAGGATAATATTTCATGTGTACATGTTATTATAGATGAGAGCGAATAATGATTTAAACCGCGATAAAATGAAAAGATAACGTGTATAATTGTGTTTCCTCTTTCAGACATAACAATCAATGAAAACGTGTCGAGTATGTAAATGATAATGACTCACTCACGATAAAATAGCTTCCAAGCACATTGTCAAAAACTTTACAACGATAACCTTTCAACAAGTGCATATATACTTAAAAAATATTATAAGGGTACTTCAAACAAAAATACAATTACACATACAGAAGTGATATTGTATAGTTATTTCTAAAATATCTTTAAATAGAAATCTAATCATCCGTAACAACAAATCGAATACTGAAAGTAAATGTCTGTCCTATTTCCAGCGTATTGACAATGAAAATATAACAATTTTACATAGTTTTAAGGTCAATCACTCTTTATTTTAATCATAATCATTATAATATATATATCTGAAATTTAACTGCACAGTCTCAAAACGTACCATAAGAATCGACCTCAGCTCATCCATGACTTAAGGGCCATATTCGCAAAAATTACGTCATAGATATAAGTTTTTCAGAATAAATTTCATATCAATACAACCTTTGTTTTATAACTGCCAAATATTAAATAGATCGACAGTCATTGAATGATTTGAAAAATGTTTAATGACTTTGATAACTGCTATTATAAAACCAGGAACATGACAACAACATGACCTATCTAACTGGAATCAAGTTAGTAGGTACGGGTTGAAAAGGTTCAGCTTGAATTTAGTAGAAAATGACAAATTACCTTATATGATACAGATATAAAAAAAACAAGAATAACCTCCTTTGCTTTGAAAGATAATATCCCCTGTTATCCACTTTGTTTCTTGACATAGAACACAATGGTCAGATGTCAGTTTTGTCTATGTAAAACCAAGCCACATTTCAAATGAATTTCACTGAAAAACCAAAGGTCATTTCCCTATTAAATTGAAGAAAAATGAGACAAAGGGAAATCACCTTGGGTCATTGTGTTATTTGTTGACATACAAAGCAGTGTATGCATGTACCTATTCTATACCGAATATTACCACATAGGGTTATTGTGTTCTTTCATGACAACTGGTTAGACCTCTGGTCATGTCCTGCCACATTAAGATACAAGTGGAAGTTGAAACAACAGAGACAACCTCAAGTTATTGTGATAACTCATCCTATACAACGGGGAATTACAAAAATGCATCTTGAAATACTGGTCTAGTACATGATAAACAATTTGACGATGCCATTGTGTTTGACATTTATGTACAAACACGGATGACAGGATGAAATGATGCCCTATATTTATTTGGGCACTTTATGCATTGAAAGGGCTTTGAATTATTTTCATCCATAATATTTCTAGACTATGTATTAACTCCTTTTTTACTCTCCCTAGCCCCAATTCGAAATCATAGGTTATGCAATTGTAATAGGCCATACATATTTTCATATTCTTGATCCAATGGTAGCTTTATCGGTTACAGTTGAAATAGAATTGTCATTTATCATTTCCTGATGATTTCGACATTGGCAATTACTCATGTTATGAATGCCCTTAAAGGACATATTTAGGGTGTTCAAGTTTTTATTTTTGGGCTCTCAAATTCACCATTGAAATAATTACATAATGCCATTTTAAAATCATATTGTTTTAACATTTAAAGCAAGTCATTCACAATGTGCGAATATTACCCAACCATTAGTTCCACAATATGACTGTGAGATCATCAACGTAACATAATGAACGTTTCTAATTTTTGCAAATATTTTTGTTTTTGACTCAACGTTTTGGCCTTTACAACAAGTGAATAGATAAGCAAAATATACTCTATGCCTTTTTTCATATTTTGGTTGCTGAAATTGCTTCAATTTCTAAGCATTTATAGATCAAATAGTTAACTAACTTCGTCTTTTAATATACTTTATCGTAAAAGTATAACTGTATAACCAATGACATGGTCATATTGAAATAATGCAATTATTTAAATGGGAACATCAATTCAACACGTTGATTGATCTTACAGAAAAGTCTAACTCATTTAATTTAAAAAGATGCCTAAGATTTCGAGTTTAAAAGTGTATTCAATGTTTCAACATTATAAACATTGTATGAAATTGTTTTAATATATTGCTTACCAGTAGTCTGCTGTACGTCAATCCATTGATTGTCTGCTGTAGAATTGACTATTCGATCTTTTGAAATCCTCATCATTTTACTTTGTCCGTGTATCTGTTGAAACAAACCAGATGTAAACGTTCAAAAATCAACTAATCTAAGCCATACAGAAAGACAATAAGTTGCATTCTAATGCGCTAAAAATATGATCGCACAAGAACATACACGAACAGAAAATGTGATATATGTTTACACTATTTTGACTGCAGGATCCCATTTATTGTCAATTCAACATATTATGTCTGTTTTGGTTGCTATTCAAAGTTTTCAATAACATAACATAACCATATACAACTGTTATAAAAATGGGAGCTTTAGCTAGCTTTGATTTGTTTTCCCCTTTTTTAACTGACCTTTGAGTTCGGTATTTTTGTTATACTTGTTTATGAATACACAAGCAAGAACTAAGGTGACGTTCTTTGTTCAATACAAGTTTCCCAACATGAAAATGAATATGACATATGAGAGTTGTTTTGAAATTCGTTTGATATGTTTGATGTTTTGATTTTGTCATTGGTTAAGGGACTTTTCGTTTTGAATTTCCTTTGAGTTTTTGTTTTTTTTACTTTTTGAAGAATAAAAGACTAGAAAATTATGTAATTTGCCTTAAACATCTTTTGCAAATGTTTTGGTCTCGTAAACCGCACTCAAAGAAGAAGTATTTGTTTATATCATTTGTTTAAATAATATTGTATTCTCCTCTCTTATCTTATTTTTTAGTGGATTTTGGTCAATTTTGACTGCAAATATAAGTATTGCTTCAATTATGATAAGTAAAATTAAAAGTTGAAAATTATCCGCAAAGACCCATTTTTCAATAAATCATAAGATGGCTAGAACATTCCAAATATTATCTTATCTGCAATCACTATGCGACACTTGCAGATATATAAGGGCGAAATAATGCTGACCCGACGCTTCCATAAACTCTTCATTTCGTTCTGGTAGCATCAACTCTAAAGCATCAAAATTCTCTAATCATGCTCTGTACAAAAATTCTCGATTTGTGTTTAAATCTCATGTTACTTACAAGTATTAACTAGCTTCAAATTTTAAACGATAAATGCCTGCTACGATATTGGCGACGATACTATTTTTCAAAATTTCCTGCAGAAATGTATAAGCACAATTAGCGACATGAATGAAAAAAGAAGTGAACCGTTTAAAAGAAAGAAGGAATCACATTAAATCAACATGTTCGTCTTCATATCAAAAACGAGTAGAAAATACCTATAAACATGATAAATGATATGTACAAATTATAAGTTATAAACGATGCAATGCAAACAAATACGTTACCAATTAACATTCGATTCTCAAATGAAATACATTGATCGATAAGCACAGAAATGAAACAAGAAAATTAAATTTAGCAATCAGGCACATTTTAAGACTGGTTATATATATATATATATATATATATATATATATAAGTGCCTATAAATAGCAGCACATGACATACAAATCTATGGGAGTGTGGATTAATCAGTACAGAGATTAATTCAATTACACAAATAAAATTATAGATTGCCTAACAATGTAATTTTAACACACTATTTAGTATGTAAATATCAGAATGTTTAAAATATTTACAAAATGATGAAAATAAACGCAATATTTCGCTAGACTAACTAGCTTTATCAAGCGTGCATCTATCCAGGTGAAATCGGATGTAGATGATAAGAAACTTTTGCAGCTCAATGTATATGTTGCACTTGAATTTAGCTGCCTTGAAAATAATACATATTTGGATGAAGTTCAAGATTTTTACAAAATTGGTAGTTGAAGTTAGCAACGTCCATTGGCCAATACTACAGGATAAAAAGGACGATGCTGTGTACTAAATTATTCTTTATCTTTCCTGTATCTTTTCTCATCTTTTTCGTTAAGACCATCAGGTTCTAAAGTGTGGAGTTGGTGGATCCAAAAATTTTCTCTTCTCCTTCTCGCCGTGGTGTTCCACTCGGTGTTGACTTCTATGATTTGGAAGGTAAAGGCCGGAAGATTCTATATGTTGCCTAAAATACATAAAACGGACAATCCAGGTCGACCAATTGTTTCAGCAAATAGTCATCCAACTGAAAAGATATCAGAATTTGTAGACCATCATCTAAGACCTCATGTGAAAAAACTACCCTCTTACATCCAAGATACGACTGATTATCTAAAGAAAATGGAAAGCCTCAATCCTCTACCAAGCAATACTATACTTGCATCCATAGACGTGTCTTCTTTATATAGCAACATTCCACAAGACGAAGGAATAGCAGCGTGTGAAGAGGTATGGAACACTCGTAGTGAAAAAAATCCTCCAACTGAGTGCCTTGTTACACTTCTTAAACTAGTGCTAGAGAACAACAACTTCTCTTTCAATGAAAAACATTATCTCCAGATAGACGGTACTAGTATGGGCACAAAAATGGCCCCGTCATATGCCAACATATTTATGGGCCAACTTGAAAAACGCCTCTTGGCTAGTGCTCCATATCAGCCCTTATCATGGTTCCGATTCATTGACGATATTGATTTCAAATGGACAGATTCACAAGAACATCTTAATGAATTTCTAGGACACTGTAACTCTTTCCACCATTCAATAAAATTTACATATGAATCATCTATGGAGAAAATAAACTTCCTCGACACTACGAGTTACATCAAGAACGGAACAATTATAACGGACCTTCATACCAAACAAACGGACAAACATCAATTCCTTTATCCTAAAAGTTGCCATCCTAAACACTGCTCCCGTGGCATCCCATTCAGCCAGGCATTGCGAATCAAGAGAATATGCTCTACTGAAAATACGCAAAATGCTAGACTTGGACAACTACGTAAACATCTAGTTGTTCGAGGATACAATAACAACATCATTGATAGCGCTTTCGAAAGAGCAAATAAAACTAGTCGCCAAGAACTTCTAGAGTACAAAGATAATAATAAAGCAGCTAACAGAACACCCCTTGTACCCACTTACCATCCTGATTTTAAAAATGTGTCTTCCATTGTTCAGAAGCATTGGAAAATTATAGAAAATGATTCAAATCTTAAAAAAGTATTTTCCTCACCACCAGTCATGGCCTTCAGAAGACCTAAAAACATCCGTGACAAATTAGTGACATCTGTATTAGCAAAGCAGCCTACTCCATCTCCCGGTTGCTACAAACAATTTGGTCGAAGGAACTGCTTGTGTTGTAAAGCTGCCAATACAAGCAGTTCTTTCATCAGCTCCGTTACTAAACAAAATTATAACATCTACTCAAATTCCAACTGTAAAACGGAGAACTCAATCTATATATTAACATGTGACACATGTGGCATTCAGTATGTGGGAGACACAATGGACAAATTTAATATTCGGCTCAATAACCATCGTTCATGGTACAAAACCAACAAAAACTGTCCTCTCACAAGACATCTTCGTTCAACGAAACATTCTTTTGATAATGTTACCTTCCAAATCATAGAAGTCAACACCGAGTGGGACACCACGGCGAGAAGGAGAAGATAAAATTTTTGGATCCACCAACTCCACACTTTAGAACCTGATGGTCTTAACGAAAAAGATGAGAAAAGATACAGAAAAGATAAAGAATAATTTAGTACACAGCATCGTCCTTTTTATCCTGTAGTATTGGCCAATGGACGTTGCTAACTTCAACTACCAATTTTGTAAAAATCTTGAACTTCATCCAAATTATGTATTATTTTCTAGGCAGCTAAATTCAAGTGCAACATATACATTGAGCTGCAAAAGTTTCTTATCATCTACATCCGATTTCACCTGGATAGATGCACGCTTGATAAAGCTAGTTAGTCTAGCGAAATATTGCGTTTATTTTCATCATTTTGTAAATATTTTAAACATTCTTATATTTACATACTAAATAGTGTGTTAAAATTACATTGTTAGGCAATCTATATATATATATCTAATTCGAATAACCAAGCTAATCCTCTTTTTACTGTTTCTTATTATCTTTTTATATCTATTTTAAATGTTTCTTTTTCTTTCTAATGCACAATATACATATATGTATAGTGTTGTCAAAATGAAAACATTTACCGAACTTGTTACTCGAATAATCCTTTGACCGATTAATCGGTTAACCGATATGATCGTTAATTTTCAACCCTAAGGGTGACTGAAAAAAGTAAAATCACAAAAATACCGAACTCCGAGGAAAATTCAAAAGGGAAATTCCCTAATCAAATGGCAGAATCAAAAGCTCAAACACATCAAACGAATGGATAACAACTGTCATATTCCTTATTTGGTACAGGCAATTTCTTATGTATAAAATGGCGGATTAAACCTGGTTTTATAGTTAGCTAAACCTCTCACTTGTTTGACAGTCGCATTTAATTCTATTATAGTGACAACGATGTGTGAACGAAACAATCTGACATAATAGGTAAAAATGTCAAAATAGAGGTACAACTGTCAACATTGTGTTATAATCTTAATCACTAAAAACAAACAAATATGCAACAAAGAAACACAAAAAGGCATATAGACAAAGCACAAAAACAAAAATTAAAGACAAGAATATAAAAATTTATCATAGCACAATAACACAATCACGGGATGTACAGAACCACGTGAAATGGATATCACCAAGAGTAGACTAAACCGTAAACGTAACATTCAAAAAGACAAACAAAAGAGTACTATAACACGTTATTAAGATGATAAACAACGTCAGTACCCAGAATCTATACTTCAAGACCATCGTGTATTATTTGTGAGGTATAGATATATGGTATGCCTCACGTAGAAATGGTATCGAGATATTTGCACGTTAATTACCCAACTATTTAAGGACTCCTGTTTATGTTGCTTCTTGCAAAGCCAACTATCTGTTCCTATAAAAAAAAAATATTTTTCAGTGGCATAAGTAAAGCTATAACCTTCAATCCGGCATACCTGATCCATCTATTGCAGCCTATTGTAATGAATGTTTATTTGTCTTCATCCTGTATATACATGAAATATTTGCCAGTGGACGTTACATAAAAAACAATGAAGTAATCAAAGGCACTGCAGTATTTCATCCCAATTGTACGGTCATCTCATTAAATATTAAAGTGTGTCGTCACATCCTTTCTCAGAACTTATAGCATTGTTCATGTCATGATCAGCATGGTACCAAGTGTTTTTTATGATTTCAATATAAATTGATATTAAAACTGATTAAATCAAAAGGCCCGATTAACTGGTTACAATGACTTTGGTATTCGATAATCGGTCCTTTTTTTCATTTCTACTTGAGGCATACCATATATCTATACCTCAGTCACCCTTAGGGCACATTTTTGTAGAAAATTAACGATCATATTGGTTAACCGATTTAACCAGTAAACCGTTGACAACACTACTTAGTATATAGAGAGTTTTCGACAAGATGAATTTTAGTAAGGGATAAGAAATAAACGAAATTGGCGTTGAATTTGTTAGATTTCTCATCAAGTACCATTGTAAGAGTAGTAGGAATTATTCTAAAAAATTGAATATAAACAAAATCCAGAGCGCTTTTTAGATTTGACGGATTTAAAACAATAATAATCACATTCAGTGCAGCAGGGTTCTTACGCAGTTTTGTTGATAGTTAATAAGTTTTGTAAGTATATCAAATAAGGAGAAGAAATGCGATTGCATGTGAGACAACTCACCACAAAAGTTCAAATGGAGTGGATGTACGCAATTATAAGTAACCGTATTGCCTTTAACAATGATATAAACCGTATAAATTCAATTGAGAAAAATAACGGCCTAATTTATGACAAAACAATTTACGCTCAATGACATTCATGCAAAATGTCACTGCAGACACTTGCATAGCGAACGAGTTGGGAAAAATAAACACTATAAGACGGTGCCACAGCAACATCACCGTCCAAGACCAAACAAAATAACAATAGGGAATGAATAATCGTGTCTTTTGTCGTACAATTTTGGGTAGAGTTTCTCGTGTGAAACTGAAATATCAAAATCTAGAAAAAGACAGTTACTGCTGTTAATATTTGATTTCTTTGAAAGTAAGTTCCTTTGGGTAAATTTCGGCAGTATGTTTAGATCATTCTTGATTATTTAACGAAATCATATTATCAAGATAGCGGTAAATGTTGTTGAATTTATCAATGAAATGGAATAAAGACGGGTTTTTACGGAGTTTGGTCATAATCTGTGCGTCTAACAGTACAAGTACAAGTATGTTATTAAAGTGGCACAATTGGTGTTTATAGGAGTACCTACAACATGTCAATAAACTTTATTGCCAAAACGTACATCAAGGAGAACATTTACAGCTTTACTCATCTCATAACACATCCAGTAAGTATATCTAGCATATATGTTTTCCTCATTAGAGAAAAAGGCTTTATACACGTGATATGAGTTGCAGCAAATAAATTGCAATCCGATTTTTCAAACGACCATTTAGTTAAATAAGAAAACTATTGTTGTTTATTTGAAATTAACAGAAAGAGATTTGATATCCAAAGATGAAATTTAAGTGTTAAATATGTAACCTTTAAGAATAATTTTATTTATAGGATCGATAATTTTACCCAGATCCTTCAAAATTTACCGGGACTTTACACAACGTTACCGTAAAAATTAAGATGTACTATCTAGTTTGTATCTCAACTTTTTAATTTTGTGGGCGAAGTCTTATTTAGAAGAAACACACGCATGGCATACCAACTTATAAGCCTTATATCTTTAGTAGTTTCGAAACCCTTCCAACAAGGCCGGTAGGAGAAGTTATAAATCTTTAAAACGTTTGGAAATTAATATAATCTGTTTGTTGATTATATTATTACCTGTATATGGCAATAGATAATGTGCTTTGGCTAAATATTTGTGCAATATAAAGATGAAACTCAAGTTGACGGCATAAGAATAGATCTTATCGTTGTTTGAGTATGTATATTCAACCGAACAGAACATGTACTAAGGCATTTGTATACATGGTATACATGTAGATTCATTTGTAGCAGTATTTGTCTTGTAATCGAATGAAATTTACAACTTATACAATAATAATTCGAGTTAAAGTCAAATCTCGAAACAGTTAGTTCATTACCCATTTATTGAAATCAACGTACATTTGTATGTGATTTTTGATTTTTAGGTCAGACACTTAATCCTTGCAATGCATTAAATAGTTATGAATAAAGTATAAAAATCAGTGTAATGGATAATGGACAAAACAATTCAGGTTTAAAAAGGAGCCGAACATCTGTCAAATTGACTGTTACATCAATCAATGTTAGAATTGTCGATAGGCCTTCCCTATTTAAATGTTTTACTGACACTATCACAAGTTAGTTGACCGTTATGGAGTATCTGTTACACAGATAACGCCGGATGTGATCCAATCATCGTAACAACAATGCCTTCCTCCTTTTACTCGAATTTGACCTGACTTTTCTCCGGGTTTTCACTTACATTAGCAACACGATGAATGCCACATGTGGAGCAGGATCTACTTACCCTTCTGGAACACCTGCCATAGCGTTGACAGTTTAATTTTGACTCATGAGTTGGAATGTCCCTTTCGTATCTTTTGCATCTATTTTAACTTGAATATATCATAATATATTCAGGGTATGTTTAAACAGTTTTTGCTAGCAACATTGATCGATGTTTTATTTGTTTGTTTGTGTCTTGTGAGACCATTCCTCTTTTCGATTGATTAATTGAATTTTAGTGCTTGCTAGTTATTATTAAAATATGTATGTCATTCCATCAACCTTGTTTGTGCTATCTTTTGCATTGGCAAGATGTCGATAAGATAACTTGTACATGCAAGTGAACAGATAATAGGGATTTTAAATTAAGACCTCTAAAAATCAACAAATATGAATATTCGAATAGTGTACGAAAAGAAGTTAAATTATCCTTTGACATCATTTAAAGTTATATAGATCATGTCTCACTTAATAATCTAAATAATGGTGACTATGTTGAACTCATCTATCGATTCCAATTTTAAATAAAGTATGTCACAATTACATTTGAGCCCGAGGGTAAGCTTGGAACAAAATGACAAATTTTCAATTATGAACTTTCCTTTTCTGTATCGCAACATCTAAGCAGCTCTTATATACATCCCAGTAGATACAACATTCCAGAGGTAGCGTTCCTTTACATGCGTTTTTTATAATAGGACTACTGCTAAAATAACATATCGAACAACGAACTCCTAGTGGTAAAGTTGATAATTTCCCGTACACCACCATACGTTTGTTTAATTTGATGAAATACCTTTGTCACAGATGACCACATAGATGTTATAGATGTTACAATTGTCGTAGTTATTATTTCGTACTATTTTCCTTGATTGTGACATCAACGAACTATATCAAAACCGAATTTGAACAAATATGTACCATAATCATCACGACGAGTACCACATATCACACAGAGTTGGGTAGTAAAGTGTGTTGTGTTGCTCTTACTTAAGTTTTCAGCACTATACTTTTTCACTGGCGTTTTTTTCTAATGGTTACATTCTTGTGTAGCCTCTGACCGAAAACATCGCGTTTCAAATTCAAATTGACACGTTCGGTCAAGTTTATGTGTAAGAGATATTACACGACCGATGGTTTACGAATTTGAAAACGTTTTAAAGTAGGATAATTATTCATTGCCAGTTTCTAGTAAGCTGTTTGGTTTTCCGTCTTTTTTTGTTTGTTTTGCCATGATGGTGTCGGTCGTTTTTCGACTTGTGGGTTTGATCTCCCCTTTGTACCTTTAGCTTTTTTCTCAGAGTTCGGTATTTTTGTTATTTTACTTTTCATTATCCCTCTATGATTATTATTAGTATTCGTACAGTATTATTATCGTTATACTTTTAATTCTCGTTATCATTTTTATTATCATTATGGTAATGGCGATTCTTTTCGTCTTATGGACTCATTGATTGAATAATTAATGAGTAAATACAGTTAAAATTATAAATGTACGTACATTACGTTTACATTACAAAAAAAAGTAAATTTATTCTCCTTATCAATTTCAAAGATGATGTACTTTCGGTTACTCACTCAAAAATATTTTCTTCTCTTTATAGTCCTCAATTTCATATGACTCAGGAAGTTAACGTCGTTATTTAAACAGAAAATTTTCAGTTGCCAAAATGATATGAATACGGTTTTTAAATGTAAATAGAGATTTATAATTTAAATACCCCTGTACAATTATATTGATTTACTGCTTGGTAGAATATGTTTGGTTACTGTCGAAATACCTTCAATTGTAGAATATGATATAAGTTACACTGGTGTCATTGTAAATGACATTGAAATAAAATAAAGAAAGATTTAACGATTCGTATCAAGACTTGTCTCTGTGCCAAAAAATTTTAATGTAAATTTGTACAAGCAAACTTGATGTTATCTAAAGTTAAATGTAATGCATGACTACATTATATAGAATAGAAGTATTGAAGGAAAACATAAGAAAGATATTTATTCTATGTATGCATACTTTAACATGTTTAAATGCAAACAAAACAACATTTCACTAAAAATCATTGTCACAGATATGTCTTACATCGGATTTATGTTTATCATGACCAATACATCAGGTCTACATTCGAGCATGTACACAAACTACTTTTGCATATGCGGCACATACATTTTTCAACAATTACCAGATAGGGACGGGAAATCTTGATGCCTTTTATTAATCCTTGTATTGAAATGTTACAAACACAGTCATATTTATTTTTATTGTTTTGGGGGTGGGGAGTACCAATACGCATACGTCTTCTGTGGTTTGTCTATTAAGTGGTAGGTTACAATAAAAACATAAGTCATCTATATGTTTTAGCTCTTTTAATACATCAAATAATATTCTTTTATTAAATTTCGAAAAAGGTTGGACATGGACGAGAACCAATTGTTGGGACGAAATATTTGTCATTCTATTTCAAATATTTTTCGTAAAGGTTATCCTTCACCGTTATTGTTACACAAATCTTTATATTTCATTAAATGTGCCTTAGTGTGCTGCATCGGCAATTGTAAATTATCAGGAACTAAGTACTGATAGTTTTTGTTTTAATATAAAAACGTAAGTATGTACATATTGATCGGAAATTCAGGTGGTCAAGTTATGAATCAAAACGTGTTCAAATCGTATAGTTAATACGTATTTTGTAAGATCGTCCTTTTCCAATTGGTTGGACAGTATCAAGTACGAGCTTTTTCATTTGCTGCATTATGAGATCCTTAATATTTTTCCTTATATGCCAGTCAATTTTGAATTGATATTTTTATCGTGGTAATATTGCAATTTCAAAGTTAACAGTACTTGTAATTTCTTAATATAGTGGAAAATATAAATGAGGAATTGCCAACAACATGGATGTCATCATGGTTTGTTTGACAGTTTTGGAACATTTGTGTCATATATGACAACGATTCTGTCTTAGGTGTAGAAGCTAATATCTTGTCCATCTCCTTTATGACATAAAAAAAAACATGCAACTTATCACCAACTGTTTACCTTTCAAAACTTCACGACGGACACCACTATTTGGTTAAGATAGGCTAACCTTGACAACTCCGACTTACGATCAATCTTTACGTGTTATCCAGTATACGAGTGCTGTTTGCAATTTTGTCATTTTTCTTTTTGACCATTGTATCTTTTGTTTTTCTGTAATTTTTTATTCCTGTCTTTGATTTCATCTGTCTTATATTTGCATCATCTAAAATAAGATAACCGAATGATTTTTACAAATGATCTTTTTTGAGGATATTTGGCATTAATATAATATGATGAGAGTTTCACCTACTATGCTTAATATACAATATGATTTGTAAAATGAATTATTGTTTACATACAGGATTTGCAAACGAGACAAAGTGTCCTTTCTAATATTTTGTAGATATGCAATGTCATTAAATATGTGTTGTAAGGACGGTTATACATTTATATGTGGAAGAAATAGTAAAAAAAAGTTATTTGGGCCGAAAATAAGATTCTTGTAACCTCATTAGTTATTCATCTTTGACATGTTCTGTGCATTTAAACTTCATATAACAGAAAAAAATGCTTCAAAATGTACATTGTACATCTCTAATCTAGATATTTAAGTCATAAATATTTCGCTGTGTGAAAATATTTAAAAAATCATATCGATTTATTTTTGAATATGCTCTAGTTTGAATAGTTTGTATATTTAAAAGCCATTGGAAACATAGATATCTATCATAACAATAAATAACTTGATAATATTACATGTTTTTGGTAGATCACATTATTTTAAAGCTTTACATACTTAAAGGTAAGACGATTATCTTATTCAGATAAAACAGATGATACGGATATTAAAAAAAGTATTCTGTATATTGTAAACTCTTGTTTAATGCAAACTCATTTTGCAACAACATGAGTACAGATTTTATAACATTAACCTGCTCATCGTAAGTTAGAAATCTGGTCAATTGCGTGTTCCTTTCACATATACATGTAGCGGCTGCAATAAAAAAATGTAATTTACTTTTCTAAATATATGATTCCACTGGCGATATTTAGACATATTTATTACATGTATTATTTGGATATATAATTTTAAAATGAAGTAAATAGGGTAAAACTGCTTAAGAAGCATCCATTCTACCAAAGGCGATAGACAATGATGATACATGTATGAACACCTAAGGCAACTTCAACAACATCAAACCCATTACTGTTTTATTAAATTCTTTGCGTCTTACTGATTGTATTTAGGCAATCTGGTCTTAATTTCAAATGTCTATGCCACTTGCGTTCCGGAAAGCCAATGTCCCAGTATTTTTACAATTATAAGAATGAACTGACTTTAAGAATAGACTTTTTTATAAACCATTGTCATTTTAAGAGACAGAAATGAGAGTACCTTAGACCAATATGTTCAACTTAAGATTAAATTAAATCAAGATCACATTTTGAAAATTTCAAATAAAAACAAATACAGACAGAACGAATAAACCAATCACCAATTCATACAATCCGTAGTATGTACATGTAACTAGAAAAAAAGCATGTTATTATTTTTCGATTTTCAAGGAGTAGCAGGAGATGTTTTACCCATTTTTTGTTTGTACTATGTCAAATGGTTTGTCTCTCAATACGTGTTGTTGAATCACTAATCAATTAAACCTATATGTCCAATAGGCCTCAATATTTACTGGAAGACGTTGCATACATGTATTGTATATTTTTTAGATATTACAATTTTTTACTGTAGTTTAATTGATATTCGACTCAAAAGTATTGTCCACTTATATATACGATACCTAAGACAATCTAATTTAGAAATAGATCACTTATTTTTTCTTAGTATTTCACCAACTTATTGACCCGGAATAGATTGCTGAGTTTGTATTATCTAAATATTAGGATTGCATGACTAATTAAACACACCCCTTCACTTGAGCGGTTCATAATATGATAAAAGGCAAAACGGAAAAAATGTCACTTCTAAAAATTTCAAAGAATTAAATTACGAAAAGAAAAGTATATGTACATTACTTTTATTTGATGCTAGTTAACCGAGTTTGAAATACTACCGTATTAGAATTGTTTTCGTCCAGAACAAGCATTAAATAGTTGCCTCTCCTACTAAGGACGCAATCAATCAGATGAATGTCATGACACATACAATTTAAGTCTAAGATGGATCTCCCATTATTATCAGACAATTTTTCTTTTTAGATATTAAATTAAATGATCCGCTCAGCAATGATAATTCATACTGCTTGAGGATATATTGAGTAAGGACAAAAATTTAGACTTGCAACAGCTGGCCACATTCGGACCACTCAAATAATTGGTGCAAGAGTTTTTAATTTGCCGAGAGCGTTGATCCATGAAATCTTCTCTGAAGTCGATCATCGATGTTTACGTGTAGTTTGAAATATCATTTCACGCATCCAGGTTTAGGTTAGATACTTTAAGCTCGCTTTAGTAACTGTGAGAATTCTGTGAAACTGTTTTGTTTATTGTACTTGATTTTTTTTGGTATGATATTCTGTACTACCACTCTCCTGGTTGGTCTCGTGTGAGGGTGTTCGCCTCGAGAGCGGGAGGTCGTCTGTTCGAATCCCGACCGGGCCAAACAAAGACGTTAAAATTGGTATTTGCTATTTCAACGCTAAACACCTGGCATCATAGAGTAAGAGCACAGACTGGTCGGCTCAGAGTCGGAAATGTGTCCGGGTCGGGTGACTTTTCTTACTGCGAACTAATGTAAAATTACACGTTAAAAAAAAACGACTCAGCGTGTCAGTCTAGTAAAAAGCGGGGTTAATACTCATATCATATTTACATGTTATCGTACTGAATATTCATTTTGTTTGCCGCTGGTCGTCATCCATTATCATCATTAATTTACCGTTATATTATACAGTGAAGTGTTTTTCTTCTACTGGTTTATAGTACAACTTCTTAAATTTTCACCGATCAAAATTAAAATTGGGCAGGTGAAATTTTTCAACCAAACAGTTCTTGTGATTGTTGGGATACTTTTGACGGTAAATAATATTAAATCAAATGTGCCTTTTGGAATATATAATACTTGACGGTAAATTATTGAATTAACTCCGTATAACTATTATTTAGTCATGGGGCGGTTTTGAGCTTTTATTCTGTATACGCATCTTTCTATAAAAACTGAATGTTGAATCTTAATGTTTTGATTTGTCTGTGTCTTTTGGTTGCTGTCGCATTAATGTATACCTTTATATCCTTTCATTCAAAGCAAAATGATTCACTTGGGTAAAGAGATATTGACATGTCTGGACCTCTCACCGTCCCACAGTATACCCTTGCCTTGGGTGCGTTCGTTTGGCTTATCGGATATATAAATGCACAGCTTTGTCTGATCGAAATAGGAATATATTTCTGATGACTGGTGTAGTGAGAATTTCACGCTATCTATACGTTAAAAACATTAGAGGGAAATACGATCTACGCACGAGTTGAATGATTGAAATGTGTAAACAACAAGAAAGATCGGCTAAATCTTTTCAAATAAGTCGCATGGCTGATTTTAACACATTTTTTGCCACTTTTGCCAGGACAATTGTAGATGAAAAAAATTTAACAAAACCG